CGCGAAACAAAAACTGCTAAAATACGTACCTCCTGGGGTGTATTTCACTGCCTCCAGAAACGTATATGTGACTATGTTTTCAGAATGTGCCTGTGTTGCATAAAGAGGAATCAGCAACAGCATACTCAAATCCCATAATCTTGTTTAATAAAGGTGTAATAACAACCCACAAACCTCGATATTAATGCTTTATAACTGCAAATGAGGGTTAGGCATACAGTTTTTGGTAAACAGCCCTGTAATATGTACTATAAAAAAGAGACTCAAAAATTAATAGCATTTTGATTGCATTTTGTGAATAATGTTTTATTTTCATTCATTCATTCATTCATTTTCTTGTCGGCTTAGTCCCTTTATTAATCCGGGATCACCACAGCCGAATGAACCGCCAACTTATCCAGCAAGTTTTTACACAGTGGATGCCCTTCCAGCCGCAACTCATCTCTGGGAAACATCCACACACACATTCACACACACACTCATACACTACGGACAATTTAGCCTACCCAATTCACCTGTACCACATGTCTTTGGACTGTGGGGGAAATTGGAGCACCCGGAGGAAACCTACATGAAGGCAGAGGGAATATGCAAAATCCACACAGAAACACCAACTGAGCCGAGCGAATTCGACTGAATTCAAACCAGCGATATTGCAATTCATAATCATAAACTGTGGGGCGATGCAGTTGTGCAATAGGTAGTGCTGTCACCTCACAGCAAGAAAGTCACTGGTTTGAGCCTTGGGTGGGTCAGTTGCCGTTTCTGTGTGGAGTTTGCATGTTCTCCCCGTGTTTCCTCTGGGTGCTCTGGTTTCCCCCACAGTCCAAAGACATGCGGTACAGGTGAATTAGATAAGCTACATTTTCCGAAGTGTATGAGTCTGAATGAATGCGTATGGGTGTTTCCCAGAGATGGGTTGCAGCTGGAAGGGCATCTGCTGCTTAGAACATATGCTGAATAAGATGGCGGTTCATTCCACTGTAGCGACTTCTGATTAATGAAGGAAATAAGCCGAAAAGAAAATCAATAAAATAAACTGTTAATCATGCAATTGAATTAACAGATATTTTTACAGTGCGCATAAACAACTATTGACACTGGATCACTGCATATATGGGAAAAGGTGTAGGAAGAAGGATTTTCTTGAACGGAAAGATATAATTGAAGATGAGTGAAGTTGACTTTTTTCTGTTTGAGCGGTTGGTGTATGGAGGCCGTTTTGGAGTGAGTCATGCCAGTTAGACCTGTTTCAGGATGTGAGATTAACTGTTAGTGTACTGCATGCAACGGTACACTGAGAATTCAGGAAACTTTATTATTGTGTTAGAGCATGCATTGTTTTTTTATCTATCATGTTGGTATGTACAGGGCTCAGAATATTCCTTTCCTTTTCTTGTCGGCTTAGTCCCTTTTATTTATCCGGGGTCGCCACAGCAGAATAAACCGCCAACTTATTCAGCAAGTTTTTACACAGCGTATGCCCTTCCAGCCGTAACCCATCTCTGGGAAACACACACATTCACACACACACTTATACACTACAGAAAATTTAGCCTACCCAATTTACCTGTACCGCATGTCTTTGGACTGTGGGGGAAACCGGAGCACCCGGAGGAGGTTCGAACCAGCCGAGGTTCGAACCAACGACATCCTTGCTGTGAGGCGACAGCATTACCTACTGTGCCACTGCCTCGCCCGGGCTCAGAATATACCCCTCACAAATCTATCTTTTAAATAAAAATTTTGAATAGGAAGCTATACAATATTATATTTGTGCACATACATTAGATTAGTCAGCACTGAAGCCAAATCTGGAGCTTATCTAACAAAATAAGTTACGATAATGGCAAATGTATATATTATAGAAAAATATTAAATACAAATCTTAAAATAGAGGAAAAATCAAAAGAAGCCAAAAAATTGAAAGAATGTGTTGAAATTTTGTGTTTATATATTTTTTGCAATATTTAGCTTGAAATTAATTGTATTCTCTTTCAATTTCTAAATATGTTTAGTGAATGACATTATTTTAATAAATATATCTGTTTAATAAATCTGTTTTGTTCAAATGCACCAATATACAGCCTATATTCAATGGATACTAATATTCATTTTCAAAAACTCAATTATGCTAAGCACTGTATATATTAATTTATTGTTTGTTTGGGGATCAGTTGTCACTGTTAAATAATTGCCTATTAGCATGCACATACCTAGCACACTGACTGTTAGATCTCTTAATCCTATTCTATTCTTAAACAACCCAGGCTCATTACAAATACATGCCTAGCGTTACCGAGCAAACTGACTGTGCTGGAAAAATCATCCAAATGGAAATAAGTTGTTTTTGTGAAGATCCATGCAAAAACAATCCTTTATCAATTGATAATATGTCCCTGTAAACAACAGTAGTGCAAAAAGGAACAAATGCTGTTGCCGTCGTACTGCCCTGTAATGCTTGTTTTACCCAGAAACTACAGGCAAACGTACAGTGAAGCACATTTTTGTGGTTTCACAAAAACAAAATGTAGCCGTAGGCATGTATTTCCAATGAGACTGTGTTGCTATTAAACTTTAAAGCTACTTAACAATAACATAATAATTTAATAAAAATAATTTTCATCCAATTTCTGTTTAACAAAAAATAAGATTTTTTCAAAACATTTTTAAAACAAAATAGTTTTAATAACTCATCTGTAATAACTGATTTCTTTTATCTTTGCCATGATGACAGAACACAATGTAGTTTTTTTTTAAAGAAACTAGTATTCAACTTAAAGGGCAAGTCAATAACCCCTTTCACACATACTGACCTTTCCGGAAAATTATCGGAAATTTTCCGGAAAGGTCTGTATGTGTGAACAGGCCCTTTTTGAATACATCGGTAAATTCGTTCTGGCAGTTTTCCAAAAAGAGAAGTTGTAACATTACCGGTAATTTGCTGGAAATCTGCTCTGGGTGAACGCAGAAGGAAAATTGCCGAAAAAAGTGCATTCATCCTTAAAAGGCGCTGAAGTGAGACATCTACACCAGCCAATCAGAACATTCAGATGCATTCACATCTGCGCTGTTTATGAAAACAAAAGCCTTTAAATATTTTTCCAGACACATTTAGCTGCTAGATGTTAGTCAGAAAATGTTTCTATGTTCCCTCTTAATGCCAACTGTGTTAAAAATGATCATCGTAATGCTTATGATAAACCGCTGTTTGTTTACCTTCAAGCTATGCTTCAGTTGCTTCACGCATGTACACGTTAAGCAGCCAGTGAGGCCCAGCACACACACAAATGTACATCTCGACATGCGAAAGTGTTCCTTCATATGTTTCTATCGAAGTTGTTTAGAATACTTATCCATCCACAGAGTTTGAAATGTAGTTGAATGTTTACAAATACAAGTGCAGCCATTTAGAGACCATTTTTGGTTAATGATGTCAGAATTCACCTGCATTTTGGAATGGATGTATGAATGTTCTTCTGGAAATTCTGGAACGTCCATGCCTGTGTAAACATCACTTTTTTAAATTTACTGGTAAAGTCATTTCAGAATTTAAAAAAAATAATTGCTGGTATCTCTGTGTGAAAGGGGCTATTGTATAACATTGCTTTATTCTGTAGCCTGTTATAACAAAATATTCCTTAAGGGGGCTAATAATGTGGATAATTACAATGGTCATATGTTTATACAGTTGAAGTCAGCATTATTAGCCACCCCCTTTTTCTTTAATATTTCCCAAATGATGTTTAACAGTGCAAAGAAATTTCCACAGTATATCTGATAATATTTTTTCTTCTGGAGAAAGTCTTATTTGTTTTATTTCAGCTAGAATAAAAGCAGTTTTTAATTTTTAAAATCCATTTTAAGGTCAATATTATTAGCCCCTTAAAGCATGTTTTTCCTACAGAACAAACCATCATTATACAATAACTTGCCTTATTACCCTAACCTGCCTACTTAACCTAAATAACTTACTGTAGTTAAGCCTTTAAATGCCACTATAGAAGTGTCTGGAAAAATATCTAGTAAAATATTATTGACTGTCATCATGGCAAAGTAAATAAATAAAAGTAAAATAAATCAGTTATTAGAAATTAGTTGAATGTTTACTACTGTATATATTAATATCAAATGTTCTTGGCTATCCTTAAACAACAGAAATTTGACAACAACAGAATATACAGTAGTCAACATTTGAAGTGAACCAAAAAAAGTGTTTTAAATTTGCACTTCAAATGTTCACTACTGTATTTATTTAGAGTAAATAATCTTGTCTGTCCCTATAAACAACAGAAACTCAACACTGAGACATTTCTCCTAAAGTTCATTAGCATCTGATCGTGTCATGATGATGCAGCGATTAACCTGGATAGGACCTGGATCTCAGATGAGTGGTTTACAGTGAGGGTGTATATGATGGGATTGGATTGAGCACTCAGGTCTTGGCAGGTCTTCACTTACCATTGGCCATAAACTAGAACTGGAAGATCAGTGCTCATCCACCGGGATCTAATTACTTATTTTTTGCATGTTACTATTCAGGCTTTTCTACTTTCCATTCTTTTGGGTGGACCAGCTGTCAGCTTGAGTGGCCCAGTGCGATCTTTGTCTTTGCCACATTTTGTAGCACATAAATATACTCAGATATATCTAATTCAAACTAATAAGAAGAAATGTGTATTGTTATTCTATGTTCTTGAGTGATGCAGTCAGATTTGCATTTTATAAATAGTCTGCAGTATGTAAATGTTACATTTTTAGCATTTATTTGTTTGTTTGGACCCATATATAATACTCTATTTATGTCTTATCATTTGAATATACTGTTAAAAATAGTCACTTTTTTGAGAATCAGAAAAATGTAAAGCAAAGTTTAATTCCAATACTTAATATTGGAAATCAAACGGCTATGAGTGACACTAAAATATATCTGCTGATTTGCGTTTTAAAAATACCAAACAATCTATTCTAAACTTTACTTTCGCTGTGTCTCATTTCAGAGTCTGCATCCTCCGAAAGATGCGGACTTCAACGGTGAGTCCTTCGAAGTCCACACAGGCTGAACGGAGCGTTTTCTACCCAAGAGAGGACAGATTTCAGCACCAAGCAACCATAACAGCTGCTGATAATAAGCGGAAATAAAAATTGTAATGCATTTTTTTTTCAAAGTGATTTTAAAACTTATTTTCAGCGATCTTAAGGCAAAGCAAATTTCCTTTGATCCATGAATTTACACATAAAAATGTAAACTGTCGACTCTTTTTGTAATTTAACATGTGTTATTGGAAGGGGAATAAACTTAATTTATACATTTAAACCGGAGTTCTGTTTTAAAAACATCCTGCTGTTATCAGTGTGCAATGTATCTTGGGACATTCGAGGCCACAAAGGATCCACCTGTTGTGTCCTTTCTTACCTGTGAAACGAAGAACAAATTTTGTTTTATAATTGTTATTTTAGGGGGTTTTCACCTTTAATTTGAATAGGATAGTGGAGGTTACAGACAGGAAAGTATTTGAAACAGAGAGAGGGGAAGTGTTGGCAAAAAGCCTCAAGCCGGGAATTGGTGCTATATGTTAGCACACTTAACCACTAGGTTATTGGTGCCGGCGAAGAATGTGTTTAAGGCTGCATTTGAAGGAGCCTTTAATTTTTTTTCTAATGAGACAGCCTTCATTGCGCTGCAATGTCGGTTCCGAAGCATCCAGTCACGCACTAGCCGGCTGAAGGAAAGTTTCTTTTCAGGCTGATGTACACTTAACACACCCCACACAGACTTCCATACCGCTCACTGCACACCATCAATATGTAGCATGCACTGAACTTTAACCAGTCCATACTTGAAACAATACTGTCTACAACTATGTGGACACCTATTCATTGTACATATCGCTGTCAATTTCACATTGTCCTGTTTTTTTTTTTTGTTTTTTTTTTGAGGAGTATGCTGTCTGTATTTTGTACTGTCCAGAGCCAGCACCTAAGCTTTTCACTCATACCTCACGTGCTGCTAATGACGTGACAATAAAAGTGATTTGATTTGATTTACCTCATTATAAAAATACATTTTCTGGAAAAAAACTTACTGAATACATTACAAATTACAAAGGGTTGTTCACCAGATGAACACACAAAAAAACCTTTCTTAATCAAAAATGTATTGTTTATATCTTTTGATACGATTAGAGAAAAATTATGTCCATATATGTGGACTTGTGGTCCGAATTTACATAAACCATTTTTTTCCTGACAGTTTTTAATGCACATGTTTTGACTATCAGAGAATAAAAAAAATAATTTTTTTGCCCATTTTGGACAGCTAAAAATAGTGTTTGGGACATTTCATATGCTGCAAAACAGTTGCAGGATGACACTGTATGTCTGTAACAAAATTTAAAACATTCAAAGTACTTTAAATAGCCACTTAAGAGCTAAAATGTGCTGTCCACGTATGTGGCCACTAAGCCCTAACAAGTCAAAACAGGCAAAATTATATTATTTTACTTACAGAATTGACACATAATTTTCCTTGTTAAAAAAAAAAAAAGTTAAATAATTATTTAAGAAAACAAAACAATATTTTCACTTGTCTAAAAGAATGCTTCTTGATTGTACAATGTTTAAATATGTGAATTAGTACTTATTGTGAATGGAAGGACTTCACAATTGTGTAGGATAGCAGTGTTTTAGGTAGAAAATCTCTGTTGTTTCTTCCAAACTAATGTTTTTAAAGCATTTCAGAAAAACAATCTCTGTCCACATTATAACACGCATGATACATGACCATTCATTCTGCCTGGGCATACGTATGTTTTGCTAAGATTTGTACTTAAGCCTCAGTCACGCTGCATTTTTTTGCCCAATCGACTTCCATTCATACACATTCGAGTGAGACAGACCGGAAATGCCACTTGTTTAACAAGTTTTACATGACATTGCGTTGCTAAGCGTTTGAACTCTGATCTACAAATTTGCATCATTGGAATATCAAAATGTGACCTCTCTGTACAGAAAGGCAAAATATGGAGCAAAAGCTTGTTTTATCAGTGTTGCGTCATCTTGTTTTAACCTGGTTAGTTTCATAGCCTTGTCCGATGGAATTTCCAAGCCGATCTCACAAGAAAATATGACAAATTTATACGATTTTATGTGCATTAAAGGAGCCATGTCCCCAAACCCTATCCCTAACCCTACCCCTCATTGGGAATGAGTAGGCCCGCACAAGGAATCAATGTGCTCAGAAATCGGCAAATTTCCACAGATTTTTAGCCATTATTGAGTCTATTTATTGTGTAAATGTGTGTAAATTTCAGTAATATTATTGACTAATTTGAAAATGTTCATATGATTTTTACTGTCTTTTAGTATATATATTATATGAAAGACTTGCTTTGTTTAGCAAATAAGTGGATCTAACTGGATTTGCATTAAATTAAAGCTCACATATCCAGTTTTAGTTATGATAATCCCAAAATCATTCTGCATAAATCTGCAGATTTTTTTATTTTATTTATTTATTTTTTTTACAAAATTCTGCGTAGAAATAGCAAAAAATGTCCGCAGATTTTGTCTGGTCTTTTGCCTTTTGAGCAAATTGTACTAAAATGTACAAATGAGATTGAACAAATTCATATGAATTAGCCACACTGTTAACGATTTTTGTAAACTACACAGAATTTAACTGTAATGTGAACTGTTATGCAGTATGTTACTGTATTTAAAAAATGGCGTTATGACAATAATGTATATTTTACAATAACAATATACATACAATTCTGTAAATACACATAGAGCAAGATAAGTAGTGCTGGAAAGTAAATACTGTGTTTTTGCTGCATCTAATTTACAGTAAGTTACTGTAGATTTTACAGAGAATTGTTGACAGTGCACTAAATCAAAAAAGTTACAAATTGTGGTTAAAATTTCATATGCTTAACCAATAGTGTGAATGTGGCTTGCTGATTGTGTAGCGGTCACACGTAAGGGGTTTGACGAATCAGGGAATGATATGCAATAGTCCTGAAGACCAGTCAGTGAGCAACTGTAGATATTTCACTAATACTATTGTTAAATAATAATAATAATAATAATAATAATAATAATAATAATAATAATATAAATATTAGCAATAATTAATAATAGTAACAAAAAAATCTTCATATCATTTATTTACAATACAGTTTATAAAGTAATATTTTCTGTCTTACTATGCTTGCTAAACAAGTGGAGTGCATTGTAAGCATTAAATAAAAGTAAAAAATATATTCTTTTTTATTTCACATATTAAGTTTTAGCTATGATACTCTTAAATTCATTCCGCATAAATCCACAGATTTTTTTTTTTTTTACAAAAATAAAAAATAAAAATTAACAGCAGTAGAAATAGCAAAAAATGTCTACAGATTCTGTCTGGTCCTAGTGATGGAGTGGTTATTTCGAACTGGTTAAAATCAATTGTAATTTTGAGTTTACTTAGTTTTGTTGATTATAATGAAATGTGTTTGTGTTGGAATATTTGGAGATAATACTGTTGTAAATTTAATAAATCAAATCAAAATATATATACATTATATCAAGAGATCAGTTAACATGCTGAATTGATCTAAAGTGACAGTAAAGATATTCATAATGTTATTGAATATTTTCTGCTAATTTGAACTTTCTGTTCATTGATCAGCATAACAAATATTTTTAAATGTTTCTAAATCAACATATTTTTATTTCTATGGTGGTTCATACAGTGGAGACTGTGTCTAAGATGGAAATGAATGGAAAATCGATAAAAAGTCTTAACAGTATTTCAGTTTGTCAAAATATCACAGGTCTTTCTGTTTATTTATAGTTATGAATTGCATTATGTAGTCTTGACCTGTGCTCTGTCAATTTTTGATGTTTGAAAACTCAACTGTGTTGTTTAACAATTTCAGTTTCATTGACATTTTAGTATTTTGAATCAATAAATTGGATAATAAATTTTACTTTATGTTTTTTTATAGGACAACAGTATCTCCAGCAGAAAAGATCTCCAAAGAGGCCATATTAAATTGTAAAGAAATCTGTGCACTAAATCAAAAAAATCAAATTGTGGTTAAAATTTCATTTGCTGAACAACTAGTGTGACCGTGGCTTGCTTATTGTGTAGCGGTCAAATGTAAGGGGCTTGACGAATCAGGGAACGATATGCAATAGTCCTGAAGACCAGTCATTGAGCAACTGTAGATATATTTACACCTATGTTTTCAAAAGTCTGCGTTTCTGTTTTAAAATAGAACCACAGCAGTGTTTCCAAACTAAAACAGGGTATTTTTAAAGCGAGTTTTTTAAATGTTCAGCTTTCGCAGGTCAGATGCCGGAGTACTTATGCATTTTAAAACGAAAACGCATTAGTGTAAATGGCACCTCAGCTCTTGGGGTCAAAGCACCTGAAGGAGCTTCAAAAAGCTCATCATTGCTTTACATCAAACACCTGTTCCATTACATGCTAAACAGATCCTGTTCAGAAGCTGAAAAGTGGTTTCTCCTGTCAGCCTAATGGGAATGTAATCGGAGAAACGGTCAATTGCCCTCAAGGTCCTGGTTTGTTTGAAAACAGTTGGTAGAGAAAGTGAGTCAGACATGAAAGAAAAACAAGCAAGAAGTCTCTTTGTCTTAGTAACCCTGATCCGGTTGAAGGGAAACCGAAATCCGCACTCTCAATCCTTGCTGCCCTCAGTCACACAGCTGTGACATGAAACAGGTGCTGCAGTGACAGCAGGTTTACACGTCTGACACCTCTTGTTCTTTTGCCCCCCTCAAACTCTTTGTGAAAGCTTAAGGATTAAGGAGAAGAAGCCTTACTGGAATTCTGCCAAAAGTCAGCACTCAGCCGCAGCTTACCAGCTTACTGAACCCAAAAAACGCGTTTCCCAGAATTAAGCCAGGTAGGTCAATTGCACTATGATGACTCTACAAAGGAGTTGGATTTAAAGTGACCATGAGATACTGTACACACTACTAAAGTTTATTAAAAGGTGCAGTAGGTGATTGTCTTCAGAAACATTTTTTGTCGTGCTGGTTAAAAGTCTCTCAACATTCCAATAGTAATGAATAGATTAAATTATCTAAATTTCTATTTTTTTATACTCTGGGTAAAGCATAAGACAAAAAAAATAAAAAATTGTAGTGGAGATAATTACCATAATTCTCATAAGCAGCCCAAAATTACTTCTGTCTTCATATATATATATATATATATATATATATATATATATATATATCAGAATATATATCAGAATTTCACGGTACGATAATACCTCGGTATGAATGGCACGGTACGGT